TCAATGCCTTATGTAAGCACGGTATAAGGGGTTAAATCATTGAGAGACTATGAACTATTGTTTGCCAAAGGTAATTTGGGTTCGTGAAAGTACTTACCTCTGTGGTTTGGCTTGCATATGGCCGAGTGAGATTACTACCTAGTCTGAGTTTCAGCTTGATAGGTAGTTGCTTTAGTGGTTCGCCACGTGCTAGAGCGATAGGAGTTAGATTCAATTCCTACATTTTCTGTAATAGCTTTTTTTACTTAGATCAATTTTTGCATTTTCTGAGATCATTTATTATACTTGGGCTTGTATAAATCTCGGTAAGCTACTTCCCCTACGGGAAGCACTGCCGAAATTTCTGCAAATCCAAGGAGTTAGTCAAATTTTGGCTTTCCAAAGTTCAACTTGTCTAAATTTCATACATGGTTTGGTAAAAATTTGGAAAGTCTCCTTTCCTAAAAGGAGTGCTGCCCAAATTTTTGCTAATTCAAGGAGTTAGACGAAATTTGACTTTGGGCAGTCAAGGACTATTTCGCTTTTCATATTTGGTTTATACAAATTCTGAAAGGGCACTTTTCATACGGGAAGCGCTGCCGAAATTTTCTTAGTTTAAAGGAGTTAGATTATATTTTGACAAGTGACGACTCTGGTAATCCACCCTGGATAGGGAGATTCTGTTATGAGTCTACCTTTCTTTGGGCAATGGTTTAGAGTTAAACTTAGGCCTAGTTAACTAGCAGGAGTTTGGATAAGATTATGATATGAAAATTGTTCCCCAGGAACTTATAGGTTTAGTCTTGGGCATCGACATGTCCTGTGTTACAGCTCGTCGTGATCAATTTGGTTCAGGACTTGGACTAGATTCAGCTTGATCCCTTGAGGATCGCCTTCTGTTATCACTGATAACAGGTTGGTTGTCGATTCGTCGGTTTACGACTCAACTCCAATTCACCCTCAATACAACCTTAAAGGCTTTAGCCCTGGTGATTTTATTGTTTTATTAAGGTTTCACGCGGACTTTTATTGAATGGCCTTTTAACAAAGGTATTGAGTATTTAATTATGGTTGGTTGGACAGAGGTTGGGGCTTGCATGGTTAAAGCGAGGGGTATGAGTATAGAGATTGGTTGAAGTTGACTCTGTGTAGTGCGTGGACTCTTGCTTGACTCTTTGATGTGAATACAGGTATGTTCTGTGGTTCGGATCTTCGATTGGACTGCCTGCGATCACACATACATATATGGTTGTGAGGAGTCCCACAGTGATTGTGAGAAGTGATTGTCACATACTTATCCCCCTATATATATGTGTGTATTTATGTTGGGTGTTCGTGTGGCGTAAGCCGGTCACGCTTCAAAGTAAAGATTGGGGTTGGGGTCGAGAAAAGAACGAAAACCCCCTCTACATGGTTGTATGCTTCTTAGGGATTGGATTTCTTAGTCGGATGTTAGTCCTGGGCCTGGATTCGAGGTCCTTGTCCAGGACATCCCAGGCCCTAGACTCTGCAGGGAAGGAATCTTCCCCTGCGCAGAGCCTATCCGCCCTGCCCGTCGAGAACCAAACCCTAAGGCCAAAAATGTCGCTAGGGCTGAACGGCATGTCCTTCAACCGTTCAATATCGTGAAGGGCAACCCCTCACGATATATTCCTTCAGCCATTCAATATCGCGAGGCCGGAACTTTGATTGTCGCGTATGACTAGCACCGCCGTGTGATGTAGGAAGGGCTTGTAACCGCGCAACTTTATATAAAAATATTGCGCACGATGCCCGTCCGTCTTAGTGTCTAGAGTTATGGGATTAAGTGATTTGTATGTGTACATGTGTGTCCATAGTCGATATAGGCCGTTGGTGCCAACCGAAAAGGTTGCCCAAGGTTGTGATTTTGGGATGGGGAGGCCTTCGGCCTATTTTTGCATTTTAGAGTTATTATAGTTGAACGTTGTAGTCCGTGGCGCCGTCAAAGTCAAACACCTTGATTTGCTTCTAGGCCCTAGGGGAAGGAGCTGGTCTCCAAAGCCATAAGAGACGATTTCCACCACAGGTACGAACCTATGTACCACCCACTCTCCGCAGGGTGCAGAAGAGGGTGTGGTTCTCAACCGCACTTGGCGGTTGTCCAGCGTCGAGAGATTAACTCTCAAGGAGCATGTCAGCCGACACTTTGAGTGTCGAATGCGACCCTCGAGACTAACGAGGACCGCATGAGTATGCGTACTACATAGTACACCACCATTGCGACCACTTGCGTACGTTTGCATTGCGAATCGATATGAGCTAACCCTGCGTCCGCACGATCTTATACCAAGCCTCGCGCGCGATGCCTATCCGATTTCCGCATCGGAAAGTTATGGGACGGTCGCTAAGGGACTAGGAGTGTTGTCGCGTTGTTCATCTAGTGTCGTTCTGTATATGTATACGTGTGTGTGTGCGTGCCTTTATTTTTATGTTCTTTAAAGTGGTGTGCTCGTGGTGTGTGGGATGCGTCCTAGTCGACCGACGATGAGTCGCGCTTCAGACTTCAGCCCCCCAAGATGTCGGTTCGCATACAGGCTCGATAAAGGCGTAATACCGCGCGTACCCCCTATGCTACAGCGAACGCGAAACGCCCTCGGCTGGCCCACCTCTGCAATTGCAATTGATTAACTTTCGTACTGTGGACTGGTAGCTCGGCGGGGATACGCCCACCGAAGGCAGGAGACAACTCCCGTAAGGTGGAGGTAAGTTGTGCCTCGCGTAGGCCCTATCCTGTCGTAGGGGCTCGCAGGAGGTATGGCTGGCGCACTCGGCCAGAGCGGCTTGCGGAAGCTCCATGTATATTCGCGATGAGGATTTAGACCAACTCCTGCGTAACGAGGCCGGGAGGGTCCCGCGCTGCCTTGTGCGGTGACGGACCGATGCGCTCGACAGCGCTACAACTACTCCTGCAGCGCTCCTCCAAAGTGCTGCTGCCGAATCCTGGCCACTACCTCCTGCCTCCTGAACTGCACGTGAAGTGCCTGCGGATTACCTAGGAAGTACCTGTCGGCCTGCAGGGCGGGGCAGTCCTATATAGTGCTGGCCCGTCCAGGAGGCTGCTCTTGCCAATGCCGAAACATGCCAGGCCCTGGCGTTGAAGCTCAACCAGGGGTTGTCTTGAAAACAGGCCTGAAATGGCCTGTGCTAAAACCCTGGTTTGTTGCCCGAGTTTCAGGGCGGGTCGGACTGATGAGGGCCTGAAAATGGCCCTTAGTTTCAGGCTGAAAATACTCAGGGCTGGAAAGGCCCTGATTTAGCCTGAACCAACACAGGGCCTGTCGGCCCTTGTTTTCAGGCTTGCAGGCTGAATCGACACGGGACCTGTAGGCCCTTGTTTTCAGGCTTTTGGCCTGAAAACGTCACGGGCCTGAAAGGGGGCCCGTGCAGCATGTAACTCTCTCTCTCTCTCTCTCTCTCTCTCTCTCTCTCTCTCTCTCTCTCTCTCTCTCTCTCTCTTCATGCACTCTCTCTCTCTTTCTCTCTCTTTCTCTCTCTTTCTCTCTTTTTCTCTCTTTTTCTCTCTCTTTCTCTCTTTTTCTCTCGCTCTTTCTCGTTTTCTCTCTCTTTTTCTCTCTTTCTTTCTTTCTTTCTCGCTCTATCTTTCTCTTCCTTCCTCTCTCACACACAGCGCACTCCCTCTCTCTAAAGCAGCGCACCCACTCTCTCTCACTCAGCGCACTCTCTCCCTCTCAATCAGCACTCTCTCTCTCTCTCTCTCTCTCTCTCTCTCTCTCTCTCTCTCTCTCTCTCTCTCTCTCTCTCTCTCTCTCTCTCTCTCTCTCTCNTCTCTCTCTTCATGCACTCTCTCTCGCTCTCTCTCTCTCTCTCTCTCTCTCCCTTCATGCATGGGCTCTCTCTCTCTCTCTCTCTCTTCATGCACTCTCTCTCGCTCTCTCTCTCTCTCTCTCTCTCCCTTCATGCATGTGTGTGTGTGTGTGTGTGTGTGTGTGTGTGTGTGTGTGTGTGTGCATGAAGATCTTGACGCTGGATACATCCGCCACTACTCAGCACCATCTCCTACTACTAGCTGTGCGGTTATGGCCACCTTACTTCCTCAGCACAGCGCTGCCCAGCCAGGGCTCTAGCGCATGCTACTCGCAGATAGCGCACATGTGCCGCACTTCTTGCGAATGAGCAATCCGTCGGAAATGAGGCTGGCCAGTCCCTATATTGACTTGGACTGAGCCTTCACTCGTCCCAGACTCTGCTTCTCTTGGCTTGACTTGGACCCGGCAGCAGCAGCAGCCCGCGGCCTGTTTGCTTCCGGAATGTTGAGGCCCGGTACCTTCCTGAGTTTTCCTTGGTGTGCTTCTGCTTTTGGGTCTGTGGGGCGTGACCTTTGACTGTGGTTCGTGACCCTTACCTATGGGATATGACTTTTGACTGTGAGACGTGACTTTTGCCTCTGGGATGTGACCGTTGACCGGGTACCTGTTGGACTTGACCTCTGGGGTTATCCGCCATAATTTTTCTGAAACTGGCCGATCTGGCCTCTTTCCGCCTGGGGACTTTGACCCTGAGATTCGAATTTGGGGTCTGCATCGTGCAATGCCTTTCATACGGCAATATGAACATTTCCTCAGAGTTGACTTCCAATCAATGTCTAGAACCAGACTTTGGTGCCCTTCAGCGATCAGATTGGTGCAACCATACAGTCATCACCATGAGGCCATAGTCATACTGTCATCATCTACATAAGTGCTGTTCTGTTTTCACCAAGTTCAAGTGAGCCCAATTACAGCCTGCCCCGCTACTTAATAGTTCATACTATTGATTACAGATTTAAGTTCATTTAACAGCATCCCTGCATAAAACTCCGCAAAGGCATGTAAGCTGAATAACCTTGGCATGAAGGCGAATGATGCACACATGTAACTGTTGGTAAACAAGTCATCAGTTGGAATGCTGCTGGCATCCGACGAATAACAACAACAGTGGCTACCACCATAAAAAGTATTTAACTAAATAAAGGGAAATTGACATGAAGCTGTTCCGCATACCATGTTTCAGGGACTTGAGAGATGTCTCGTTGATGATTCGCTTTGTCTCCTCCACCAACGGGCAATGAAGAGACACTATGTCACTGGAAGATAGGAGTTCTTTCAGTGTGTCCACACGTTCCGCATTCATAGGATACGTCTTCCTCCGCATGTTGTTCTCTGGCTCATCCTGCAAACCGTTGCCAGAGTTTCAGACCACAAGTACCACTTAGCCTGAGGATGAAAACCTTTATAGTCACTGCTAGCCAATATGACCTCCATCATCATGCCTTGGGCCACCTTCACACCAGATCTTTTTCGACTGAACCTGGCCGTAAGTTTTTCTCAGAGATATCAAGGAGACCATGCCATTAGAAAGCAAGCACCAGCACCAAGCTCTGCAACAGGTTTTCTCATCCTACCTAGTACACAAACACCACAACGAATTTTATTCGTGTTTGACTCGCAAGTTATGCTTCAGACTGAGAGACAATTCTTGAGCAGAGCCATCACAAGCAGTCCTAATCATCATCCTTTGGACCCATTTCTTCAAGTTTCTGTGTCATCCCTCTCCGCATCATCATCCATGGAAAGCAGTAGGTAAAAGCAATAACAACAGGAAGTCACACAGGGCCAGTAGGGAACGAGGTCACACCTACTGAGGTTAGGGAGACTAGTGGAAGAAGCTGGGTGGCATGTTCTCCCACTCCCAAACCTCAGTGCACCAAGACTGCAAGAGGCCACGTGTAAGGAAGTGATGGCAGCAGCAGCTACAATGATGAAGAAGAGGAATGTGGCGGTCAACACAATGCTTGTGTGTGTGTTGTCCAACTGCTAGAGCATGCACAGCAGGAAGAAACTGAGCAATTTATGTGCATACACGCCCCCATCAAGAGACCCATCAAGGCATGTGGACTTCTCCAGAAGATCAGCGAGGAGGATCTCCAGCATGTCACCCTGACCAACACCGTGGTCAAACAGCAGAGTAGTGTGAGGTCAGGTGGAAAATGGCTTTGAGCAGAATTCTCTCCAAGGCAGCCATTCTTGGACTGCAACTGGAAATGAAAGTGCTGGACCTTCCAGGCCCCGTACAGGCCATTGTGGCAAACGGGAATGTAATCCGTATCTCTCAATCACAGTCGATGGCGAAGGCAGAGTGAGTGTGTGTGTGTGTGCGTGTGTGTCTGTGTGTGTGTGTGTGTGTGTGTGTGTGTGTGTGCGAGAGAGAGAGAGAGAGAGAGAGAGAGAGAGAGAGAGAGAGAGAGAGGAAACATTCAATGAAGAAGACGGGGTGAGACATTCCATCTCGTTCAAGATCTTGGATCACCCACTTTCTCATAAAGTGCTGGGACAGTGATGGCTCAGAGCTGCAAATGCTGAAATCTTCTGTGCCAGCCACCTGATGCAGTTTCCTGATAGAGCAGGCCATATGGTGACCTAAATGACAGGATGCAAAGGGTGATTCTAAAGATAAGTCTGGAAGATTTTTCCTTTCTGCACCAGGGTTCTCCAATTATGTGTGACAACACCACAGAAAAGGACTTTGGATCGCCTCGGTAACCGGAACAAAGATGCAGACCCTTTAGTACAAGAAAGAATGAGCCAAAGAAAGTGCAGCAGCTGGTTGGACAATACCGCAATCTGCAGGAGCCCATAAGACATGTGGAGAGAGGTGAAGCACGCCATTCATCTCGTGCTGATACAACGCCTCCCAAGGGGCAGATTACCACATGCCACCTGCAGACTTGGAGAAGTTGAAGAGAGTTGGCTGAGCTAACAGAGAAAGGCTGGATCAAGCGCAGCAGCTCAACATACAGTGCTCCCAATATTGTTAGAAGTTGAAGAGAGTTGGGTGAGCTAACAGAGAAAGGCTGGGTCAAGCCCAGCAGTTCAACATACAGTGCTCCAATATTGTCAGTCCCAAAGAAGGATGGAGGACTCGACAATGTAACAATCAAATTCCTACCTATGAATGACTTGCTAGACAATGTGCCCAGACGTAAAAGCGTTTTCCAAGATCGATCTCAAGAGTGGCCATCACCAAATTGAGGTGGAGTCAGCAGACCAGCTCAGATCGGTGTCCAAGACTGTGCCAGTTTTTCCAGTGGAGCAATTGTCCTTCGATGGATGTCGTCTTGCCGCTTATCAACAAGTTCCACCGAAACCAGGCTCAAACGATTGTTCCTCCTCAGGTTTCATTTGAGTCAGCATCTCAGTCTTTCACTGAGGGTGGGCACTACCAGACCAGTAGCTCTAGATATTTCCAATAGGCAGACCCAGTAGGCCTATGCTGGGCAGACCCAGTAGCTCTAGATATTTCCAATAGGCAGACCCAGTCGCTCTAGATATTTCCAATAGGCAGACCCAGTAGCTCTAGATATTTCCAATAGGCAGATCCAGCAGCTCATCAAAAGTGACGAGTTGGGCAGCACAACAAACCAATTTTTCATTCAGCAAGTTTGCTTAAGTTACGGAGTAGTGCAAATCATTGCGCTGATATCATGGAGATCGGGCGTATTCATAGCCAAGGCAGTTCTGGCAATCTACCACATCGTTTTCCGTTCCCCTGGGTGTTGTGTAATCAGAACAGCTGGGTGCACCTGTGAAGATAAGCTGTGCTATATGATGTACTTGTGAATGCACAGTCTCTCTCTCTCTCTCTCTCTCTCTCTCTCTCTCTCTCTCTCTCTCTGTGTGTGTGTGTGTGTGTGTGTGT